GTGTTGTGTGTGTGTGAGAGAGTGTGTGTGAGTGTGTGAGAGAGTGTGTGTGTGTGTGTGAGTGTGTGAGAGAGTGAGTGGTGTGTGTGTGTGAGTGTGTGAGAGAGTGTGTGTGTGTGTGTGTGAGAGAGTGTGTGTGAGAGTGAGTGGTGTGTGTGTGTGACTGAACAGCCTTCATGAATCAAGAATCAAGACTTGAAAGAATTTGAACATTTGAACCGGTCTAAAGATATTAAACCTAATATTAAAGACATCTTACACACTGTCCACATGCCTTGTGTGTTTTATGTGTTGTGATGAGAAGAAGATTATATATTTTTTTGCATTCTGCAGACATCATACAGGTTTGGAATGAAATGAGAGTGAATAAAAGAAGACAGAATGAAAGAACTATCACTTCAAATCAGTTCAGTGATTCAAATGCATCAGTCCAGCTCTTTTAAATCAAGAACGGCTCAGCAATAACTGCACAGTAAGCTCTGAATCTCATATTTAATAATTATAATAATTAAATCAAGGGACAGACATCAGATTAATAATGGGATGAAAAACACTGTTTAAAAGCATGAGTAAATACAGTGCGTGCATAATTATTGTGCAAGTTGATATTCTGGTCATATTTTTTTTCCAAACCACATCAATCTTAATAACTACTATTAATTTTGTATTTAGTCATTTAAAATTGATAAACAATTGCCCTTGTTAGCTGGAACTGAAAAATGCCTTATACTTACATCAATTTGCATAATAAGTATGCACGCACTGTAGACACATAAAAAAAATAAAATAATAAAAAAATAAAATGGGTGAAAAAAGTCAAATCAAGGAAAGATTGCTGAAGATCGTTTAAAGCAGATGTTTTGAGTCAAAAACACAAGAATCCTTCAATCACGTCAGAAGCTTTATTAACAGAAGCACAAACCACTTCAGACAAACTAACATGGCCATAACTAACCAGTCCTCACATATAAACTCAACTTCATCAAACGGCATGAAACACACACTGTGGCTGACTAGAAGTCCATATTGTGATGGATTTCTGAGTGAAATGCATACTGTAAAAATGACCGTGAATTTAACGGTAAAAGACTGTAAAATGCTACAGTAAAAACCTGTTAAATAGTTAACGGTAAATTCCTCTACTATATACGGTAAAAAAACTGTACATGTAATTTTACGGTAGTATACCGTTTTTGTAAGTGAAAAGGACAGTATAGAGCTGCCGTTTTTTTACTGTAAATTTTACGGATTTTTTTTACAGTGAGCTGCATTGATTTCATGCTGGTTTGAGCTGCTGTGCTTCGGTTCCTGGAGATGTTCTCTCACCGTCGTTCACCTGAAATCTCAAAAACACATGAATATATAGAAGGAGAGAACAGAGGAAGAGATCCGTGACCCCATCTGGATCAGAAAGTCTTCCGGTCATTAGTCTGGTGACTACACAGCATCTGAGCACTGGATTTACAAAAATCATTTCAGTTTTAAGAAGAGTTTTTTCTCAATATTTCAACATTGCATCAACTACTGATGAACACACTCATTTTTATTTGAATTATCGCTCAGTCGGTTATTTAACCATGTGTCTTTGGAAGGCTTTTGTCTTTCCAATGCACAACCTCTTTTACCTAATATATTTACTTAAAGTCCTCCTGAGATTTAAAAATAAATATTTTAATTATTCAGTAACACATTTGCATGTTCACGGTTCATGGTCACATGACATGCGGGTAAACAAATAACATATTTTTTTTTTTTAGTAAGTGTTTTATTTTGATTGATGTTATTTTAAAATGATTTATTTTAATTTTACATTTTTATGATTTAATTTATTTATTAGCTTTTCATTAAACTCTCGAACCCCCTGCAGTTCCTTTATGAACCCGTTTGGGAATCCTTATAATGTAATATAATGTTTAATGCACTTCATGTTGTAAATAACAACGAATGTAAAACTGGATTATTGAAAAGTGGATGTTTATCCAGTAAATACCTTGTGTTTGAGACTAGTAATGCTAACTATTCCAGTTTCATCAGATTATTATCCTCTCTCTCAGGAGTCAAGTATTCTTCTTAGGAGTTTTTCGCGGCTGGCAAAGCAGCTAGAATCTAAATCTCCATCTGTAGAGAGTTATTTTATTTTGTTTGTTTACCTTTCGGCGGAAACGCGGCTCCTCTCCGCCGGAAGACACCAGCTGATCTGTGACGCACTGACGCAGAACGCACGCAACCTCCGTTTGCAGCGCCTCTGTGCTTCCTTTATGATTTACAGTGCTTTTGACGGTTAAGCGCTACTTCTGGTCATTATGTTTATATTCAAATATGGTTATGATGAATAGAAATATAGAGCAGAAAATAAAGAATTCGCGTCAGTCACGAATCCCGCTGCCAGAGATGTTTGTGTTCTAAAGAGAGATCAACATCCGCGGCCTCGCGATCACCGGAAGCGTGGTGGGCAGATTGGATCACGTGTGCTTTTTATTTAAATGTAGAGCAGGAACATTTACATAGAAAGAGGATTTATACAATGTACTTACTGTTATAATCATAGTAGCATCAAAGGGGGGGGGAAAACGGAAAATAAAATAAAAAATATCCAGTGAATATACACTACCAGTCAAAAGTTTTTGAACAGTAAAGTTTTTTTTAAAGAATTCTCTTCTGCTCACCAAAGCTGCATTTATTTGACTAAAAATACAGCAAAAGCAGTAATATTGTGAAATATTTTTACTATTTAAAATATCTGTTTTCTATGTGAATATCTGTTAAACTGTAATTTACCAATCACATCACAGCCTTGAATCAGCCAGTTTCCCGCAGCGTCACGCTTTTTGTGCTAACATTGCAGTCTCCCTCTAAAGCGGCTCTGGCGCTGCTGCCACGCGACAGTCGCGGACGCTTTACGGCAGAGCCGGTGGCTGCGAGGTGAGCGCGACGCGTTTATTTCCTTCATCACGCAGCAGAGATGCGGGTCTAATGACGAATAAACAGCGTTTAAACGCACAGCAGTTCTGTCGGAGCTCAGTGTTCACGGCACACACGACATGATCATCTGACAGACCCGAGTGTTTTCCTGCAGCTCTTTTCCAAACATCATAATTAAAAACTGAATGAAAGCATCGTAACAGCAGTTCATATCGTGCACTTTATGCTGCATTTCATCACTACTACTACAGTAACGCATTACTTTTTAATTTAGAAGAAAATATCTGAGTTCTTTTGTTTTCTCGTGTAGTGTTCTGACCTGTCCGCTCGCACAAAAACAGATTCAGTATTCCTCAAAATAAATAAAAACTGAAAGCAAACTCAGAATATGAGTCAAACCTGCAATAATTAAATATGTTAAATAACACAAACATCCTTTATGTATTTAATCCCATTTTCCCCAAACTTGTTTGTCATCTGAACCTCTTTCAGGTAATATATTTACTTGAAGAACCTGAGATTTAAAAAGAAATATTTTAATAATTAAGAATCACATTTGCATGTAAGGTACATGCAGGTAAACAAATTAAATATTTATTTTTTATCCAGCTTTTGCTCAGTTCGATCTGTATTAAAAGGTTACAATCAGCAAAATGCATTTGTTTGTCTTGTTTGCGTCAGTATTCCTCATGGAGATCACAGAGTGTGTCAATTATACCGTCTAGAGTCATTCTGCACAAATAATAGAGCACAGGATGACACCGGTGACCAATCACAGTCCAGCACTCCAGAAGATTAGTGATGAACAATAGTGTTTCATGTAAGATTTTCAATACACTCCATTCTGTGTGATTTATAAGTGTTTTGAAAAGTGGGGACATGGGGTAATGTCCTGAAAAGTCACCTTCTCCTTGTATTACCTATGTCATACCCTTGTCATTATACAAATTTATGTCCTCATTTGTCACAAAAACGCGCACACACACACACACACACTGTCCGGCTGCAGTTTCTGCCCTTCAGCTGAAGAACAGAGAAATATGTTGATTTGTTCACAGGATCTCAATCCTGATCATCAGGAAAGCGTCCAACACTGTTCTTGACAAACAGATTCAACTAGCTACATGTACATGCACCCCAATAAGCAATTTATCATCAATTTATCACCAATGGCTCAATCAGACCGAAACACCTTTATGTGAACATTGCAATTCATCAGATTGAGCTCGATCCGATCAGAATGAAAGGGCTGCTGTAGACCTGAAACCATTCCAACAACAGGAAAAAATTATGTAACCACTTGAAAACTATTTACTTAATCCGATTCAGAAATACCTTGCTATGTAGTTGTTTAGGTGTTCCTGTGGTTACTACGGAGATGCTATGTGGTTGTCTAGTTGTTCAGGTGGTTGCTAGGGAGTTAATATATGGTTGTTTAGGTGTTCAGGTGGTTGCTAGGGAGTTAATATATGGTTGTTTAGGTGTTCAGGTGGTTGCTAGGGAGTTAATATATGGTTGTTTAGGTGTTCAGGTGGTTGCTAGGGAGTTAATATATGGTTGTTTAGGTGTTCAGGTGGTTGCTTGGGAGTTCATATATGGTTGTTTAGGTGTTCAGGTGGTTGCTAGGGAGCAGCTATGTAGTTGTTTAGGTGTTCCTGTGGTTACTACGGAGAGGCTATGTGATTGTCTAGGTGTTCAGGTGGTTGCTAGGGAGTTGATATGTAGTTGTCTAGGTGTTCAGGTGGTTGCTAGGGAGTTGATATGTGGTTGTCTAGGTGTTCAGGTGGTTACTAAGGAGTTGCTTAGTAGTTGTCTAGGTGTACAGGTGGTTGCTAGGGAGTTGATATGTAGTTGTCTAGGTGTTCAGGTGGTTGCTAGGGAGTTGATATGTAGTTGTTTAGGTGGTTGCTTTGGAGTTGCTATGTGATTTGGCTACTCACTGGTTAAACAGGGTGGAAAGTACTTTATAAAAAAGAAAATTGCAAATGTAATTGCTAGATGATCCGCAGGCATCTTGACTTTGTTGTTTCAGTCAATAAAGTCTGAATTTGGCATCTGGAACTTCTTGACTCGTGACATTCTTGTGAAAAAGAGAGAACAATGATGGCAGTAAAAATTATCACACTTCTTAGCAAATAATCAGAATAATGAGAATTGCATGTAAACGGGAGTGAAGAGGTTTGCTTATGCCATGTAAACGACGATTAAGTCCTTACTCTGATTATTGGAAATCACATTATTGGTGCACATGTAAACATAGTCAGTGACATCACAGATGGACATCTAAATAAAGAATAGGAGCAAAGGTTGTGTTTTCTTTGAGCTGATTGGTCACAGTTGGCAGTGTTGAATGGACGGTGTTGCCAAATCATCTGCATTTAATTGTCATAAATGAACATTCACATTTCTCATTACACACAGCTGATCTCCAGGACCGAGCGTTTGTCGTCACTGTTCTCCGGCAGGTGTTCGTGTGTCCGCCGCGCTCCATTACGGACAGCTGCGGGGTCAGAGGTCAGGCTGATGGAGCGCTCACATCGCCCATCCATTCCTCCGGCAGCGGCGTCTGCTATCCCGCTGTCCTCGCGACATCCGTTCCGGAGTTTCGTCATCTCATGGTCGGTGTTGTGTTCTTCTACTTCGCTCACCTTCAGATGCTCCTTCGGATCCAGTTCTCTCCGGATCTCCTCTAGCGGTAACGCAACCATTCCCGTTCCCTGCGGCTGATCCCGGTTTTCCACACGCCTGGAGGATCTGCACAAGGCTTTCCGGAAACCTCTTTTGAAGTTATCCGAGAGAAAACCGTACAGAATGGGATTCGCGCAACTGTTGGCGTAAGAAAGAACCACGACGAAGTAATACAGCCCTCTGAACTCTCCCGGCAGGAGAACCAGCAGATTCACGATGTTTAAGACGTAAAACGGCAGCCAGCAGAAGACGAACACGGCCACGACGATCACCACCATTCGCGTGATCTTGCGTTCGGATTTCCGGCGGCGGATCGACGTGGCGCGGATTCTTCGTCCGGAGCTGCGCACTTTAACCACGATCAGCAGGTAGCAGAGACAGATGACCGTCAGAGGACCGAAGAACCCAACAGTCGCGGTATACACGATGAACGCCGCTTTCCAAACCTCCGCCGGCTCGGGCCACACGATGCTGCAGTTCCCGTCGTCCTGCAGAACTCCAGCGAACACAACCACAGGCAAAACCACCACAAAAGAAACGCCCCATACGGTGGCGTTCACCGTTTTGGCCACACGCGGTTGGCGCCACCTAGAGGACTGGAGAGGATGCACCACAGCCAGATAGCGGTCGATGCTCATCACCGTCAGACAGAAGATGCTGGTGAACTGGTTAATGGCGTCTACGGTCATGACCAGGCGACACATGAGCGATCCGAAGGGCCAGGAGAGCAGGCCGTTCTGAACGGCGAGGAACGGCAGGCCCAGCATGAAGAGCTCGTCTGCGATCGCCAGATTCAGGATGTAGATATTGGTCACCGATTCCGCCTGGGAATATCGCAGCACGATGTGGATGACCAGAGTGTTTCCGATCAGACCCACGACGCACACAGCGATGTAGACGAGAGGGATGAGGATCCCGGCGACTCCCGGCGCATAATCCGGAGTTCGGCCGCCGGTCCAGTTCTCCGTCGGAAACAGAATCGGAGGAGGGAAGGTTTGGTTGGGAATTGCGGAGGATGCATTAGTCCACACTGGAGCTCCTGCTGCGGAGGGAGGTGAAAGATCTCGATGTACCTCCATCGGTTTAAGAGAGATTGAGCCTTACAGCGATCAACTGCTGCCCATCTGATCTACGAGTGAGACAGAATACTGGTTACTCAATGGGTCTATAAGGATAGACAGATTTAAAGAAATAATTAAACCCACAAATTATCCTGTTATTGTAAAACGTGTACTTTCACTTTCAATGGCTGCACCTTATTTATCAATAAAAGATGCATATTAGTAGCTTAAAGATATATATTAGTGCTGTTTGAAAGGATACTGACCCAGTGACAGCTTTTGTACCATGTTTTTTCTCAGTGTATGGTTGCCAAAAAAACTACCCTAAAAAATAAAGTGACAATATTTAAGGTTTTATGTGATGACATATTGCTGCCTGTATATTTTTTGAACTTATAATAGCATGCTTCATTAAGTGATGTATACTAATCTTATGGTAAATAAAAATTTTAAAAAGAGTGACTTTTTATCTCATAAATTAGCCTATCTCATAAAAACGTTTTTCTCATAATTGCAATTATATGTTATAAAGTCAGTTCTGAGTTTACATCTCGCTATTTACCCTCAGAACTGAGTCTCACAATTCTCTTGAAATTCTTACGTCAAGTTTACAGCTCACAGTTGTGTTTTTGTTTTGTTTCCATCATATAATAAAACGGAAGTTCACAGTTCTGACTTTACATTTCGCAATTCTGAGGAAAAAGTCTGAATTGTGGGATTAAGTGTCACAATTAACTTTATTATTATTTTTTTTTATAGCTTCCATACAATCTACTAAAAACACTAAAAAATTAATCATGGGTCTTGTCATTTTCATTTAAAAAAATGAAGGTGATAATTAAAAATAGTGAGTATATTTTATTAAAGAAATTGTGGTTCGGTGTTGTATAGAAAATATTGAGAACATTTCACTAATAAAACCAAGAGATATGTTTTCCTCATTTTTTTAAGGAAATGTAAGCAGTTTTGAGGCTTGAATTGAGGAACTGATTAAGCTAATAAAATTAAGGAAAGAAGGCTACCTATTTATTTTAAGAGAATTAGCTCAATTATGCAGCTTTATTTTGGCGGTGATTGTTAGTTACTCTTGCATTTTTACAGTTTTTCTCCGTAAAGTGACAAACCTGTTTACAGTAAGACTCCTGAAGTCATATGATGCTTTGGGTGAAGAACAGAAATGAAAGTGATGCCAAACACTTTTCTTGCATGTGATGTAAACAAGTGTGTAAATATGGATCTTTTGTCATTCTGGTTTGGAACAATATGCATGTGAGTAAATGATGACATCTGCACTGCAAATTTTTTCCCCAAACAAAAGCTCCCGACCGTATGGAAGCCCATTTCTGCCACATTAGAAAGAAAATCATGCTTTGGTAAGCCATAATTAAGAGATGAAAAGTCAAAATTATTTAAATGTCTTAATTATGCTAACAAAATGTGACGTTAAATATCACAATTATGAGATACTAAGTAAAATTATGACATACCAAGTCATAATTATGAGATAAAAAGTCAAAAACATGACAAAAAGTCACAATTATGAGATAAAATGTCAAAATGACTTTAAAAGTCGAAATGATGACACTATCGAAATTATGAGATAAAAAGGCAAAAAAGCATAATTCTAAAAGGACAATTCTATCATAATTTTGAATCATAAAAATCATAAATATAACTTAGTATGCAGTAATTTCGACTTTATCTCATAATGTCATAATTATGACTGTCAATTTAGATTTTTTAAAGACGCAGAGATGTTAAAGGCATTCATCTGATGACGTGCTTTAAGGACAATTACTGCATTCGCTCACACACACACACACACACACACACACACACACACACACACACACAC